AAATCGGACGTAAATATATATGGGAGCTATATCTAAATTGGAACCGATTTTCACGAAACTTAACACACATCATTCTAGACTCAATTCACTACGCTATTCCAAATTTCGTGTAAATCGAAAGATATATAGGGACTTTGGTGCACCATGTACCTTAAATCGGTCGAAAATATATATGGGAGCTATATCTAAATCTGAACCGATTTCCGGGAAACTTAACACACATCATTGTAGACCTAAATCATTAGGCTGTGCAAAATTTCGTGCAAATCGAAAGATATATGGGGACTTTGCTACACCATTTACCTTAAATCGGACCAAAATATAAATCTGATCCGATTTTTCCAAATTTCAATAGGGTTCGTCCTTGGACTAAATTAATGAGTTATGCCGATTTTCATCCAATTCGAATAAAAAATGCGATCTGTACAGGACAGACTCCTTGTGGTAGCTTCCGAAAAAATATTTAAAAAATCCACGCCTGGTGGTAGCTTCAGAAAAAAATATTTTAAAAAAATCCACGCCTTGTGGTAGCCCCGAAGATATATTTTTTTAAATGCCCTTTCCTTGCCTTCCACCTCTGCGGACCATTTTTCTGTCGTCCTTCCACAAAAATTTTCCCACGAATAAAATTTCCCAATTATTGAAATAATTCCTTAATTTTACCTAGAATTAAAATAAAAGTTGTTGTTTTTGACAACAACAACATGATGTTGTTGCTTACAACAACATGATTACCGGCTTTTTGTTTGTTATTAATTACAAGCTTCTTACATGTGAGCTTGAACGTAATTTTTAATGACATCAAATCTCTCCATCTTCCTCGTACCTCCCCAAGGGAGTGGAGATGTTGCTGAGATATGCATCGATTAAATTCTGCTGTGTTGAGTTTCTGAACCCCACTGTAAACGTCAAATCAAATAATTATGGACGTCATGATGCACATTCATATAAACCTGTCATTAATGGATTTTGAATGAAAATGAAATTGAAACACAATATATTGTGCGATGGAGCATCCAATCCACAGAGGGAGTGGAGAGGGTGGGAGATTTTTGTTTTTAAACAAATTAGAATTTCTCCAGATCTGGCTAAGTTAAATTCTGTTACTTCAACCGAACTTAGTTACTGCAGTTGAGTTTTTCAAGCGGGCGCGTTAAGAACTGCTCAGCGGATTGGCGGTTTTTTGCGAAAATGAAATTTTCAATTTTTTTCCCATTCCTTGTGGTGGCTGTCCTGCCACTCGTCAAAGTGCGGGGCCAGGCAATACAACACAATAACATAATTCCCTTTATGTTACAATTTTTGGCCGATGGCCAGCGGGATGAAAATTTGGAAAATAGTGACGACAAAATAACCCTGCTCAAGGAATACGATTTTATTGTGGTGGGTGCGGGAACGGCAGGATGTGTAATGGCTGCCAGGCTCTCCGAGAATCCCCAATGGAAGGTGTTACTACTGGAAGCTGGAGGCCCAGAACTTCTCGTTATGGATGTGCCCATTTTCGCTCATTTCCTGCAGCTAAATCGTGAGATAAATTGGGCCTATCGTACCGTACCCTCTAAGGATTATTGTTTGGGTTTGAAAAATGGTCGCTGCAATTTCCCACGTGGCAAGGTAATGGGTGGTTCATCCGTGCTCAATTATATGATGTATACGCGAGGTAATCGTCGAGATTATGATACCTGGGCCGCGATGGGTAATGAGGGATGGAGCTATCGGGATGTTTTGCCATATTTTAAAAAGCTGGAAGGTTCTGTGGTACCAGAAGCGGATGCGGAGTACGTTGGGCGCCAGGGTCCCGTGAAGGTTTCATGTCCCAAACGCCATTCTCGTGTCGCCGAGGCTTTTGTCAATGTTGGCCCCGAGGATGGTACACCGCGCTGTGATTATAATGGCAAGAAACAATGCTGCTATTCCTACATACAAACCACCACAAATCAGGAATTTCGTTGGAGCTCCAATCGTGCCTATCTCTACCCGCTCAAAGGGAAACGCCCCAATCTGCATATAAAGAAACGAGCCTTGGTGACGGAGATTTTAATTGACCCCGAAACTAAAACAGCCTATGGGGTGAAATTTGAATCAAATGGCCAATCGTTTGTGGTAAGAGCTCGCCTCGAAGTCATATCCTCGGCAGGTGCGATCAACACACCTCAACTGCTGATGCTATCGGGGGTGGGGCCAGCCAAACATTTACGTGAAGTGGGTATAGAACCTTTGGCAGATCTGGCCGTCGGCTTTAATCTACAAGATCACTTTGCCCCCGCCCTGACCTTCTACACAAATGTATCTACCCTGAAAGTGGAACAATTTTTCGATGTCAATGAATTACTGCGCCTGCAAAGCCATGACAGCATGCTCTCGGTGCCAGGAGGTGTGGAAGCCATAGCATTTTATGATTTAGATCATCCCACCGAACCGGATGGTTGGCCGGATATGGAACTCTTCCTGGCAAGTGGTGGTCTCCACACCAACCCAGCCACCCAGAGGGCCTTTGGTGTCCGCGACGATATCTATCACAAAATGTACGATGACATTGTGCGCAGGGATGATGATGTTTTCCTAATCTTCCCCATGATCCTGCAACCGCGAAGCCGGGGACGCATAATGCTCAAGAGTAAAGATCCCAAAAAATATCCTCTCATTTATCCGAATTATTTTAAGGACCCCTACGATTTGGACATAACCGTAAGGGGTCTACAGAAATGCATTGAACTCACCAAACATCCTTCGATGAGGCGAATCAATGCCAGGGTATTGGATAAACCCATACCTCAATGTCAGAAATATGGTTCGGTTACCTCTCGCGAATATTTGGAATGTTATGCGAGATATTTTACCTTTACAATTTATCATCAATCGGGTACAGCGAAAATGGGACCAAAGTCTGATCGTACAGCTGTGGTGGATGCAAGATTGAGGGTTTATGGTATACGAAATTTGCGTGTGGTCGATGCCAGTATTATGCCCAAAATTGTTGCCGGACATCCAAATGGTCCGGTATTTATGATTGCCGAGAAGGCAGCGGATATGATTAAGCAAGATCATGGATATTTATAGGCATAGAAAATAATTATATGATGTGATTTTTGCATGCAGAAAACGGTGTTTCAGGGAGCCACACCGGCATTTTGGGATCATCGGTCATATCACATCTAAAGAAGTGAAAATCTTATACGAATTTATGTTAGGAAGTAGTGGCGGCATATGATCTTCATCGTACGATATAAAAATTCATGAAAAGTGGAAGGTATAACACGATTCGGAAGGTCGGGATAACCACACCCAGGCTTACTAATGACACACTCATGGAAAATACCTCAATGCTTCCTGTTAATTATATTTCTAATATTTATTTATTTTTTATGTTTTTTGGAGTAGTGCGATAGATTTGTATATAAAAAACATAGATAATTAAAATAATGAAATAAATTTTTATAAATTTTGTAATAGAAAAAAAATATGCCTCCTAAATAAATGATCCCTAAATTAGGGATAATAAATATTTTTCGAAACGATCACAAGTCGTAGAAAAACTTGAGCATTTTTTTTTTTAATTTTTATTAAAGAAATTCTAAAAAACATATGTTTACAAAAATCCATAATCCTGCTTAATCATGTCCGCTGCCTTTTCCGCAATCATAAATATCGGACCATTTGGATGTCCAGCCACAATTTTGGGCATAATGCTGGCATCAACCACCCTTAGATTTCGTATACCATAAACTCTCAACCTGGCATTCACCACTGCGGTTCGATCCGTGCTTGGACCCATTTTCGCCGTACCCGATTGATGATAAATGGTAAAGGTAAAATGCCTTGCATAACATTCCAAATATTCTCGAAAGGTAACTTCGCAATACTTTCTACATTGAGGTATAGGCTTCTCCAAAACCCTGGCATTGACTTTCCTCATCGAAGGAAGTTTTGTGATATCCAGGCATTTCTGCAGCCCCCTAATGGTGATATTCATATCATAAGGATCCTTAAAATAATTGGGATATATGAGAGGATTCTGTCTGGGGTCCTTGCTCTTCAACATAATACGTCCCCGGCTACGTGGCTGCAGGATCATGGGAAATAATAGGAAAACATTTTCATCCTTGAGCACAATATCATCATAGAGCTGATGATAGATTTTTTCGCGTATACCAAAATCTCTTACCACAACGGGATTGGTATGGAGACCTCCACTGGCCAAGAATATTTCCAAATCAGGCCCAACCATCCGGCTCAGAGGGATTTTCTAAATCATAAAATGCTATGGCTTCCACACCACCCGGCAGAGAAAGCATGCTGTCATGCCTGGGGAGTCTTAAAAATTCCCAAACTTCAAAAAAATTCCGGGTTTTCATTGTCGATTCATTGGTGCGGATGGTCAGGGCGGGAGAAATGTGATCTTGTAGATTAAAGCCTACGGCTAAATCCGCCAAAGGTTCAATACCCAGTTCTCGCAAATGTTTGCCGGGTCCCACCCCGGATAACATTAACAGTTGAGGGGTATTAATGGCTCCGGCCGAGGATATGACTTCGAGTCGTGCTCGGACCTCAAATGATTGGCCTTTTGATTCAAATTTCACCCCATAGGCGGTTTTTGTTGCGGGGCCAATTAAAATATTTGTCACCAAGGCTCGTTTCTTGATATGCAGATTGGATCGTTTCCCTTTGAGCGGCTAGAGATAGGCACGATTGGAGCTCCAGCGAATTTCCTGATTTGTGGTGGTTTGTATGTAGGAATAGCATCGTTGCTTCTTGCCATTATAATCACATTGTGGTAGGCCATCCTCTGGCCCAGCATTGACAAAGGCCTCAGCTAGGCGTGATTGCCGTTTATGATAGGTAACTCTGACAGGCCCCTCATGCCCCACATAATCCCCATCCGCATCGGGCACCGTGGAATTTTCCAATTTTTTAAAATACGGCAATACATCCCGATAGCTCCATCCCTTATTACCCAACCCTGCCCAGTGATCATAATCACGACGATTGCCTCTTGTGTACAACATATAATTGAGCACGGATGAACCTCCCATGACCTTGCCCCGTGGGAAATTACAACGATTCTCTGTCATACCCAGACAATAATCCCTGGAGGGTTCGCTGCGATACTGCCATGTTATATCCTGATTTAGGGGTAGCAAATGGACAAACATTGGCACATCCATAACCAAAAGTTCCGGACCTCCGGCTTCCCAGAGCAATACCTTCCATTGAGGATTCTCTGAGGACCTGGCAGCCATTACACATCCTGCCGTTCATGCACCTACCACAATGAAATCGTATTCCTTGAGCAGGATAATCTTCTCATCGCTATTTTCCAGATTCTCATCCCTCTGGCCTTTGGTCAGAAATTGCAGCATAAATTCTATGATATTGCTGTGTTGTAGCTTCGATTGGCTTTGAACTTTGTCTGGCAGCAAGGTAGCCAATAATAGCAGGGTAATGAATTGAAAAAGCAGCATTTTGTTGTAATCCGCAATGTGAACGCTAACGCTTAGAGTAGCCGACTGCAATACGCAACATAGTTTAAGTGGTCAATTGCTACTACGATTACTACATTTTTTTAAGCCGATTTGAGCCGATCCGTCACTCTCTGGCGGTCAATATACCTCGTTCGATTTTGATTTATTGCTGAAATTATTATTAATTAATTTTTCTCCCTACATTGAGAGAAGGTAAAATATTTTTTAAAAAATCCAAGTTTTTTAATAAACCCACACCTCTAAAAAAAAAATCCGCCATAGGTGGCTCCTGATTTTTTTTTATTTTATTTATTTTTTTCCTTATAACCTAAATTACAATTTACATAAAATAACACCTTATCTAATATAACCATGATCCTGTTTAATCATGTCCGCTGCCTTTTCGGCAATCATATATGTCGGACCATTCGGATGCCCCGCAATAACATTTGGCATTATGCTAACATCTGCCACTCGTAAATTTTTAATACCATGAACTCTTAAACGCGGATCCACCACAGCTGTTTTATCACTCCTAGGTCCCATTTTGGCGGTACAGGCCTGATGATAAATCGTAAAGGTGAAATATCTCAGATAACATTCCAAATAAGGTCTCGATGCCATGTCACCATATTTTCGGCATTGCGGAATGGGACGATCCAGCAGCCGGGCATTTATTTTACGCATTGAGGGATAGCGCAGCAGACCTATGGCTCGCTGAAGACCTCTTATCAAAATATCCAAATCGTAGGGGTCTTTGAAATAATTCGGATAGATTAAGGGATGCTCATGCGGATCTTTACTGCGCAGCATAATACGGCCCTTACTCTTCGGCCTCAAATTCATAACGAAAATCATAAAAGTGTTCAGATCCTTTTTCAGGATATCTTCGTACATGTAGTTGTAGATGTCGTGACGCATATTAAAGGCCCTCACGGTGGCCGGGTTGGTGTGCAGACCTCCGCTGATCATAAAGAATTCCATGTCCGCCCAACCATCCGGGCGATTGTTGTGATCGAGATCATAAAAGGCAATGGCCTCCACTCCATCGGGTATGGAAAGGGTGCTATTTTGGGTATCCAAACGTAGCAGCTCATTGACATCAAAGAAGTTCTGCAGTTTCAAGGTCTCGGCATCTGTGGTAAAGGTGAGGAAGGGGGCCAAATGGTCCTGTAAATTAAAACCCACCGCCAAATCGGCAATGGGTTTAATGCCCACCTGACGTAAATGTTTGGCTGGCCCAATGCCCGACAACATCAGCAGTTGTGGGGTATTGATGGCCCCTGCCGAGGATATGACCTCCTTGCGGGCCATCACATCAAAAGTTTGTCCTCTCGATTCAAATCTCACCCCATAGGCAGCGCGTGTCTTCGGGTCTATGAGGATTTTTGTAGCCAAAGAATATTTGTGAATATGCAGATTCGGCCTTTTCCCCTTGATGGGATACAAATAGGCCCGATTCGAACTCCAACGATACCGGCCATCTGTCGTTGTCTGTATAAAGGAATAGCAAATCTGTTCCTTGCCATTGTAGTCACATTTGGGGATACCATCTGCCTGACCAGCCTCCACAAAGGCCTCTGCCACTTTGGAACGTCGATGGGGATAGGTAATTTTCACGGGACCATTACGACCCACCAACTGCGGATCGGCATCTTCAACATAGGAATGCTCTAATTTCTTAAAATATGGCAACACCTCCGGCCAACTCCAACCCACATTGCCCATGGCCGCCCAGCTGTCATAATCGCGGCGATTTGCCCGGGTATACATCATGGCATTGAGGACCGATGAGCCTCCCATAACCTTACCCCTTGGGAAATGGCAGCTATTATTATACAAACCCAAACAGAATTTATCCGAGGGCACGGTATAATATTTCCAATTAACTTCCGAACTTAATTTCAACATTTGTGCTATTGCGGGAAAATCCATAACGAGCAGCTCAGGTCCACCAGCTTCCAATAGCAATACCTTCCATTGGGGATTTTCTGAGAGCCGGGCAGCCAGGGTGCAACCTGCCGTTCCCGCACCCACCACAATAAAATCATATTCCTTCAGCAAAGGGGTATTGTTATCGGCATTCTCCAAATTCTCATCCGCCTGACCTTGGGCAATGAATTGTAGAAAATAGCGTATGATATTTGTACTTTGGGCCCGTATTAGACTGCCCTGATGCAAAGCGAGGAGTAACAGCAGTACCCCTGTCGAGATTTTCATTTTCGAAAAACAAATCGAAATTTTTTTCCGTTCCGTTTAACGTTCGAAGTCTGACTGATGAGCTATTAGACATAGAACCATATTCTAGCGACAGTTTTGAGAATAAATTAAAGTTCAAGGTTTTCGCGAATTTTTGCGAAAAAAAAATATTTCTAACCACAGCTAGTTCTACTTAGAGGTGTTACTTTTTTCTGGCGGGCTAGTTTAAAGGCGCTACATTCACCAAGAGGGTATACTGGGTTAGGGGCATATGACCAAACAAATATTTTTATTAAAAATCAACGCCTTTTCGAAACTTTAAAAAAGTTGGCACAGCGTAATGAATTAGGTCTAGAACGATGCGTGTCAAGTTTCCTGAAAATCGGCCCAGATTTCGATATAGCTCCCGTATATATTTTCGTCCGATTTAAGATAAATGAGGCACCACAGTTTCTATATATTTTTCGATTTGCTCGAAATTTGGCATAGCGTACTGAATAAAGTCTAGAATGATGTGTCTTAAGTTTCATGAAAATCGTTTCAGATTTAGATATAGCTCCCATATATATTTTCGTCCGATTTAAGGTAAATGGTGCACCAAAGTCCCTAAATACATTTCGATTTGCACGAAATTTGGCACAGCGTAATGAATTAGGTCTAGAACGATGTGTGTCAAGTTTCATGAAAATCGGTCCAGATTTCGATATAGCTCCCATATATATTTTCGTCCGATTTAAGGTAAATGAGGCACCAAAGTTTCTATATATCTTTCGATTTGCACGAAATTTGGCATAGTGTACTAAATTGAGTCTATAATGATGTGTGCCAAGTTTCGTTAAAATCGGTTCAGTTTTGGACATAGCTCCCATATATATATTTTCGTCCGATTTAAGGTGAATGGTGTACCAAAATTCCTATATATCTTTCGATTTGCTCGAAATTTGGCAAAGAGTATTGAACTAGGTCCAGAATGACATGTGCCAAGTTTCGAGAAAATCGGTTCAGATTTGGGTATACCTCCCATATATATTTTTGTCCGATTTCCTATATATCTTTCGATTTGCACGAAATTTGGCATAGAGTATTGAACTAGGTCCAGAATGACATGTGCCAAGTTTCGAGAAAATCGCTTCAGATTTGGGTATAGCTCCCATATATATTTACGTCCGATTTCCTATATATCTTTCGATTTGCACGAAATTTGGTACAACCTAATGATTTAGGTCTAGAATGATGTACGTGTAGTTTCCTGAAAATCGTTTGAGATTTAGATATAGCTCCCATATATATTTTCGTCCGATTTAAGGTAAATGTTCCGCCAAAGTCCCTAAATATCTTTCGATTTGCACGAAATTTGGCACAGCATAATGAATTAGGTCCAGAATGACATGTGCCAAGTTTCGAGAAAATCGCTTCAGATTTGGGTATAGCTCCCATATATATTTACGTCCGATTTCCTATATATCTTTCGATTTGCACGAAATTTGGTACAACCTAATGATTTAGGTCTAGAATGATGTACGTGTAGTTTCCTGAAAATCGTTTGAGATTTAGATATAGCTCCCATATATATTTTCGTCCGATTTAAGGTAAATGTACCGCCAAAGTCCCTAAATATCTTTCGATTTGCACGAAATTTGGCACAGCATAATGAATTAGGTCCAGAATGGCGTGTGCCAAGTTTCGAGAAAATCGGGTCAGATTTATATATAGCTCCCATATATATTTGCGTCCGATTTAAGGTAAATGGTGCGCCAAAGTCCCTAAATATCTTTCGATTTGCACGAAATTTGGCATAGTGTACTGAATTGAATCTATAATGATGTGTGCTAAGTTTCGTTAAAATCGGTTCAGATTTAGATATAGCTCCCATGTATATTTTCGTCCGATTTAAGATAAACGGTGCTCCAAAGTCCCTAAATATCTTTCGATGTTCTTTCGAAAAAGCGACGTCTTTCAGGAGACTATGTATAATATACCCACAGTGGTGAAGGGTGTCATATCAGTCGGCCCCGACCGACTTTACTACTTTCCTCACCGGGTTTTTATATGACTTTATAAATAAATAATTTAATTAATGCATCTTTGTCGCTTGATTAATTTATTTCAATACCGGTTTTTTAGTTTAAGATCTCTTCAAAACAAAAACAACTGTACCGAAAGATGTCAATGCAGGAAACCGTTCAACGTTCCGTTCGAATGCATTCTGTTATGGTTATGTCACTAACTTCGAAGAGAGATGTGAGAGAGAGAGAGAGACGTGACAGGGAGAGAATCTAAGAGTCGTATTGTCTAGTACGATTAATCGGAATTTATTAAAAAAAATTATTTAAGGGCGTAGATTTTTTTAAGTGTTTTTTGAGGCCTAACATAGACGTGGATTTTTTAAAAAATATTTTTTGTAGCCTAACATAGGCGTGGATTTTTTAAAAAATATTTTTTGTAGCCTAACATAGGCGTGCATTTTTTAAAACATATTTTTTGTAGCCTAACATAGGCGTGGATTTATTAAAAAATATTTTTTGTAGCCTAACATAGGCGTGGATTTTTTATAAAAAATATTTTTGTAGCCTAACATAGGCGAGGATTTTTTAAAAAATATTTTTTGTACCCCAACATAGGCATGGATTTTTTAAAAAATATTTTTTGTAGCCTAACATAGGCGTGGATTTTTTAAAAAATATTTTTTGTAGCCCAACATAGGCGTGGATTTTTTTAAAAAATATTTTTTGTACCCCAACATTGGCGTGGATTTTTTTATAAAATATTTTTTGTAGCCTAACATAGGCGTGGATTTTTTAAAAAATATTTTTTGTAGCCTAACATAGGCGTGGATTTTTTAAAAAATATTTTTTGTGGCCTAACATAGGCGTGGATTTTTTAGAAAAATATTTTTTGTACCCCAACATAGGCGTGGAGTTTTTAAAAATTATTTTTTGTAGCCTAACATAGGCGTGGATTTATTAAAAATATTTTTTATAGCCTAACATAGGCGTGGATTTTTTAAAAAAAATATTTTTTGTAGCCTAACATGTTGGGGATATATGATAAATTTCCTTTATGGAATATGCGTGAAACAAAGTAAAAGACAAGTTGTTTGAATTCAAGAGTTTATTTAAGTATTGGTCTATATCTTACGACTTGTGACAAGAGAAGAAAGATATTTAAACCGGAAAGAATAAGTATGATTTACAATCAATAATATGTCAAATTTCATGTTTACAAAATAATACTGGTTTTTAGTACATTTGAGTTGTAGTGTTGTATTTTTATCGCAACAATCGCCCTCTCAAATCAAATGCACTAAATACACGTTTTTCTTTACATACAAATTGGTTCTACATCTGAATTTTCAATAATTTACAACCATTCAAGTGTTTTTGCTTATTCAAAGCTTTTGTTAAAATATCTGCCGCATTCTCCTCAGAAGTAACATATTTAACATCGATATCCTTCGCTTCATACTTTTCCCGTATGTAGTGGAAACGTATATCAATATGTTTGGATTTCTTCTGCACTGTTGGGTTTTTGACCATGAACTGTGCTCCTTGGTTATCGCAGTAAATTTGAGTTGGATGTACAACATAGTCTTCAAAACCCATTTCACGTAATAATCCACGATGAAACACGACATCTTTAGTTCCTTGGCAAAGAGCGATGTACTCTGCTTCCATTGTACTCAACGCCACCACCGACTGCTTTCGAGATTCCCAATCAATGGGACCACCCGAGAAAAATATTATGTGGCCTGAAAACGATTTCCGATCGTTTACCTCAGTTCCCCAGTCTGCATCTGTAAAGCATTCAAAATTGCTAAATTTATTTGAGTATGTTATCTTACTCTTCACATTTCCCTTAATATATCTCAGGATATGTTTCGCAGCTTGCATATGCTCTTCATGCGGGTGAGAATTGTATTGTGAAAGTTTTGCAACAACATGGATAAGATCTGGTCTCGTTATGACTGCCAAGTACATTAATGCACCAATCAAACTTTGATATGCCTTAGTGTTCATATTAACACATTGCTTTTCGCATTTTAATAAGACATTGCCGTTATTCCATGGAGTTGCCGCTGCTTTACATTCAGCCATACCCCATCGCTCTAAAATTTCCTCAGCATATTTCTTTTGGTGAATAGTAATATCACCCGTTAATCCGTCCCTTATTACTTCCATTCCTAAGTAAAATGTTATAGGGCCACGGTCCACTGCTTCCACATATTTGTTAAGATGACTGACGATTTTATTAATTTCATTTCTATTAGAAGATGCTAGGAGCATATCGTCTACATAAATTGCTATAAAACATAGACAATTATCCTTTCTAAGTACATATACACATGTGTCGGATTTACACCTCATAAATCCCATATTGATCAAAATATCATTTATCCGTTTATTCCATTCACGTCCAGCTTGTTTCAAACCATACAGAGCTTTTCTTAGTTTGCAAACAGCATTCGGATTATGTTTGTCTTCAAACATTAATGGTTGCTTCATATAGACTTCTTCTTCGATATTACCATTCAAATAAGCTGATGTTATATCAATATGATTTACGAATAAATTATACCGGGCAGCTAACGCCAGCAATAATCTTATTACCGAGTGCCTTACAACGGGTGCAAATGTTTCCACGTAATCAACTGCATACTTTTGAGAACAGCCTTGGGCTACTAACCGCGCCTTGTATTTTTCAATGGATCCATCTGACCTTCGTTTTACCACAAAAACCCATTTGCATCCAATTACGTTTTTATCCACAGGTCTTTCCACTAGATCCCACGTTTCATTCCTTATTAAATTGTCGTATTCCACCGACATTGCTTCCTTCCACATTTCTGCATTATCCGAACTTAATGCTTCGTTAACTGTTTCTGGATTTTCTATAATCGAATTGATCATTTCTATACCGTTTTCCGTGCAATACACTTTCCGAGGTCTGCCCATATGACCAGTTCTAACTAACTTTGGCCGTCCACGCTTTCTTTTATTTTCCACCATTATTGTTTCTTCTCT